TGCGTGTGTGTGTTTGTGTGTGTCTGGGGGTGGTGTCCGAGTGGGTCATGAAGGTCTGGCCCTTAATGCCAAATCAGCCACCTGGTCCCAGATTGGGCCGCAGCCTGGTTTCATATCCCCTCCTTCATTTGGGAATGAATGGGATTAAACCTAATCCCGTTTATAGACACCCATAGAGATCAATACTAAACTGCATTTAACTTGATTTGTCTGTAATCTATTACAAAGACGCTTACTACTGCATTAAATGTTGTTGTGGAAAGCCAAGGCATCATTAATGGTTGTATTTTGTAATGGTTTAAGCCTTGAACCAGTTTTTATTACAAATGCTTTATAATCCAACTTCAACATAAGGACAGACTGACTCAATTGACCTGATTTAAGATGATAGTTTTTCTATATTTTCAAGCAATGTTTCACTTCCCATGTGAATATTTGCATATTAATTTGAAATTTTCACACAACAGGATGATTTGAAGTGTAATCATACCAATACCCGTACGTTTATAAATACACACATACCATGGTTAATTGGCGGTTAGATTTCTAAATCACGGGGTGCAGCCTTACCCGTTCAACTCAAAGCAGGATATCTGAGAGACATGTGTAACAACCCCCCCTCCTTTCCATTTAATTGGTTTCATAAACAGATTAATTTGAAGGAGAGGGGGGCTTAATTGCTAATCAGCGTTTCCATGCAGCTCCTGAAGAGTTGAACAGGATCAAGTGTGTTCTACCACAAAAAGGCCTCAGAGCCTGCAGTACACTGACAGGGGAAGGGAGAAGAGAACAGGGGAGGGAAGAGATACAAAGAATACAGGAAGCAGTGGAAAGGAAGCGATGGAGAGAGAAAATTAGTGAAGTAAAGGAAATGGTAGGAAAGGAAGAGAAAATGAGAGGCAGATGGATAAAGAAACTTCTGTCTTCCACACTCAAACTAAAGTACACAGCAGGACAGGGATAATCATAAACGTTACTGCAGTATAATGAAGTAAGAGCATTTGGAAAACATCATAATCAAAACATAATTGTGCAGAAATGTTTCAGAAAATAGTTTGTTGATTTTTCCCAGGCATCAGGAAAGCAACATATAGATTCACAAACTCTCAAGTGTAATGTAGCAGAGGGAGTGAGTAAAACTTAAGGTCCAGTGTGTAACATTTAGGAGGATCTATTGGCAGAAATGGTATATAATATCCAAAAGTATGTTTTCATTTCTGTATAATTACCTGAAAATAAGAATTGTTTTAATAAGAATTTTTTTAGGAGTCATTTTTAAAACTGGGATGACTATTTAAAATTGCTTGTTAAAAACTACAAAACCTTTTATTATATAACTAAAAACGACTATAATAACCAACTAGTTATAAACTTCATCCATCCCTCTTGTAATAATCTGAGATTGTGAATCCAGAATGTGTCTAGGTGTCCTAAGGAAGTTAATGTCATCCTCACCCTTGGTGTGTTATGTCTCCCCTTTTTGTTGGAGCTCCTGTGCTCTTGTTCTCCTGGAGGTTAAAAGGCCTTCAGAATATAGAAATGCATCAGATAACATGTGAATCATTATTGTTCTTTATTAATAACACATTTCAGTCACATTGTCCAGGTGTCCTAATTTGTAATGTCATTCCCAGCGGTGCTGAGTGATAGGATGATTCTGCTCTCCTTCCTGGAGCAAAGTCAAGTGGCCGCAGTCTATCTCAACCAAAAGAACCAGGACTCACCCGAGACTGGCAGACGAACAGACAAACTCTCACCCTCTGATATCAAGGTATAGTAGAACGCATTGGTGGAGTGTGCGTGAGTAATGTGTCTAGCATTTAGGTCAGTGTTTGTAAGAGAGACAAGTAACCAGGTAGCTACCCACTATCACAATCTACCCCTAGGTACCATTGTATCCTGTCCATTTGGCTTGATACAACTTATAAATAATTGTTTGTCCAGTTCCTGTTTTTATTTTTGTGCACAGCAGGTACACAACGTGCGAGTATGTTCAATGTAATCGCCATGGGAATCCGGTCCTTTGGTTCAAGTCGCCTCTAACTCTCTACATCTTTCCTGCTTTTGTCTATTAATCTCTCATAAAGGTGTGTATTGAGAGGCAGTCTGATCTGGAGGTGTTTTCGTAGGTGTTAGTAACAGGTCTGATTATGTGCCATCCCGTTCTTCCCTCCCCCAAAACAAAACTACACTGTGTCCTCCTTCACTAGCTGGCTAACCGCTAACCCTGGCATTATCACATTACTGCCAGGCCCTTTTGTCAAGGTGTGTGTGGGTGTGTGTGCGCGTGCATGTTGGTGTGTATAAAAGCAATCGTTCCTGCTGTGCGTCTGTCTCCAGAAGCAGAGTCCTGATAAGACACCCCCTCACCACCACCACCCCATATTGTACACCCCACACCACCCTCAATGCATGTGCATGCAACCTGCAACATACACACGTGTGCACACGCACGCCCAACGACCCATCCCCCACAACAAACACACATGCACAACCACATACACATCGCCCTGGTCCAGTGGGCTAAGCTGGAGAAGGGAGAGTGGGGGGTGTTGAGGGGGGGCCTAAACTAATCCGGCCCACAGAAAGTGGTTTTTGATTATTGCTGACCAGCAAACGCCAGCAGAAAAAAAGACTAGAAGAGGGAAGAGATGGGTAGGGAGGATGGAGGGATGGAGGGGGCATGCGAGGGGGAGAGATAGAGTGTGTTATTAACCCCAGTGATTTCAGTTTTTTTTTTTCTTCTTTTCCATTTCTAATCTGTCAGTGATCTCCCGTTCAGCTGTTTGGGGCAACTCTTTGTTCCCTTTATCATCAGATGTACTTCCATCACTTTAATTTGCCTCTGTATTTTGTGTCCAAAGCAAATATCCCCCCCAAGGGGGCAAGAGGGGCAGACATGGACCACTGAACATAAAATCTGCTCTACTCGTACAGTATAGCTTGTCGATTTACTCATTTCTACATGTTTCTCTGCTTTTACGCAATTTTTGTACTGTGGAGTGTTTTGGATTTTTTAAAAATAGACTAAAGAAATGTTCCTGTATTCCTAATTGTACAACCTGCACTTCTGTCAGGTCCCAGTCACTCCTCTGTACTGTGACAGAGGTCATGGACATGTGTGGTTGTGTGTGTGGTGCTAATATGTGTGTATTAGTTGATTCTGGTAGCTAGTTCATTGTGTTAGTGAGTGTGACTGGAGATACAGAGTGTATGAAAGGCCTGTATGATTATGGGGCTCTGTGTTTGTTTGTGTGTGTGTGTGTGTGTAAGTGTGTGTGTTAAGAAGCTTTTAAGCTGTGGTGTACATTGAAAGGCAGGGTCACTGTGTAAGACCTGCAATTCCACCTGCTTTAAAAGTGCTTCTGGATAGAGCACTGTTTCTTTAATGGTGTCTGTGTGTCTATGAAAGAGTGTGTTTACATACATATATAGTGCCTCTACATGCATGTACATGTGTATTTGTGTGCATACATGCATGCATTCGTGTGTGTGTGTGTCTGTGTGAGTGTGTGTGCCCCTCCGCCCCAAGCGCCACGAGAGCTCATTACTGTGCGTCTCTTTGTTGTGGCCCGTAGAGCGTAGCGGACCTTCCCAAAAATATGCACATCACTAAAACAACAAGCCCGACAGAACAAAACACACACACACCATTAATAATGGAAGATAAAAAACAACCTTAGACATCAACAAAAACAGGGTGGGGGAAGGACAGGAGAGTGATATTTGGGGATACAGATGTGGAAGTTTCAGAGCCCTCAGGTGTTGACATAGACCATATACGTGAATTCAAATGGGTGGGTCTGATAACTTCCCCGTTTTACTTCTGTGGGTGTCACTAGCCAGTGTCCATCTTTCACTCTCTCTCTTCATTTTGAGTCCCTTTTCTAGCATACTCGGCATGTATGTGTTTCTCTGTCCAGGTGGTGTGTGTGGACATGAGTGGGCGGGGTCGTAGGATCCACAGACGTGTGGGTCTCAACCGTCTCCAGGACGTGGCGCTCTGCTGGTGGAACCTGGACGAGGCCGGTGAGGAGCTGTGGCCCTGGACTCCCATAAACACGCACAGGAACAACCTGGTGCTGCTCAGATGCTCACCTACTGAAGGCCTCAAGGTACACACACACACACACACACACACAACAAATCAGTTGGTAAATGACAACCATCAATCACCAGAGTAATATTCACTAATGCATTGTTGCTGCTGATTTTAAAGGCAGATTAAGCTATTATTGACTTTCACAGTACACAAAGAAAGTACTGTATGCACCAGTAAATTTTGTGTTTCTAAAAAAGAACAGGGGAAAAGTTGTGAAGTGCAAACAATGTGCTTTTCACATTGTCAGGCAATTTAATTAACTGTGTGTACCCATGGGGCCCAGATTGGAACCACGGACCAATCCATTACCTGTGCAAGCATACTGGAGCGGTCGATGGAGTTTGCCCATCCAGCCTAAGTGTGTTTTGTTGTCAAGGAGAAAGACCTTTTTCTGTGTGGTTATTGTGGGAATATCAGTTTGCAGGGCCGTTGCAACCAGCTTTGGGGTTCTTCTACTACTACTAAGTGAATCTTGTGTCAATGTTCCTGGCTCAAGCATGTTTTTGAGGAATGTTGGCTTGTCACAGATTCTCTCCCCATGAACTAGGAGTGTACTGTTTGACCTCAGGATCACTTCCCTTTGTTTGGGGGAGAGTTGCTGCCCCAAAGGAAGGAATTCGCTGTTGTTCACAAGGGATTCACAAGACAGAACGTGAAATCACCAGGTGGACTGGTTCTACGTTAGCAGTGATTTGGGTATTTTACCAAGCTGTTGTAGTGCGCAGGAAGCTGAGGCTGAAAGTAAAGCTCTAAATTTACCAGTTGATCTACAATATATTTGCACATTCAGATGGAGCTCGGACTAGAACTACTGTATTGCTTCTTCACATTGGAAGTCATGGGATTAGGCTCTTAAACACCTATTATGGATGTATTTCTGGCACTTCTAGCTCGAAGGAAATCCCAGACCCTGTAATGCTTACATATCTGGCCTGGGAACACCTTGAGATCTC